TCACTGTGGCCGTGTGTGTGTGGTTCACGATGGCCTTGTTGGTGGGTGGGGTTCACTGTGGCCGTGTGTGTGTGTGGTTCACTATGACCGTGTGTGTGTGTGGTTCACTATGACCATGTGTGTGTGTGGTTCACTATGGCCGTGTGTGTGTGGTTCACGATGGCCTTGTTGGTGGGTGGGGTTCACTGTGGCCGTGTGTGTGTGTGGTTCACTATGACCGTGTGTGTGTGTGGTTCACTATGACCATGTGTGTGTGTGGTTCACTGTGGCCGTGTGTGTGTGGTTCACTATGGCCGTGTGTGTGTGGTTCACGATGGCCTTGTTGGTGGGTGGGGTTCACTGTGGCCGTGTGTGTGTGTGGTTCACTATGACCGTGTGTGTGTGTGGTTCACGGTGACCGTGTGTGTGTGTGGTTCACTGTGGCCGTGTGGGTGGGTGGGGTTCACTGTGGCCGTGTGGGTGGATGGGGTTCACGGTGGCCGTGTGTGTGGGTGGCGTTCACGGTGTCCGTGTGTGTGGGTGGGGTTCACTGTGGCCGTGTGGGTGGGTGGGGTTCACTGTGGCCGTGTGGGTGGGTGGGTATCACGACGGCCGTGTGGGTGGGTAGGGTTCACGGTGTCCGTGTGGGTGGGTGGGGTTCACGGTGTCCGTGTGGATGGGTGGGGTTCACGGTGGCCGTGTGGGTGGGGTTCACGACGGCCGAGATGGTGCTGGGGCCGCCTTTGTCTCTCCCCACACTCACCCACCCACCCACTCACTCAAAAAGACGAAGATCCCCCGTATACCCTTAATAGACTCAACTCACCCACCCGCTCACACACACAAACATCACCCCTATGGCCCCAACAGACCGCTGGGGAAAGTGCCGTAGGCACTCTGGTTCATTCGGTAAAGTCACGTGTTTGTGTTCATATTCTTAGCTCTTTCGGTAAGGTCACGTTGAAGGGAAACAATAAAATAATCTTAAAAAATATACAAAACAATAATTACATAGACTTTTTTTAAGAAATAAATGTGTTCTCCTACATCATCAGAGTGCAGCGCCACGTTAAATACGCAACTACAATGTGACGATAAATTTTGATTGAAAGCTTTCGTGACTGCAGTGGTTCATATTCTTAGCTCTTTCGGTAAAGTCACGTTGAAGGGAAACAATAAAATAATAAAAAATACATACAAAACAATAACAAAATTCTCACGACGTTTCGACCGTAACGCACGAAACGTGGTGAGAATTTATATTTTTCATATATATTTTATTATTTTATTGTTTCCCTTCAACGTGACTTTACCGAAAGGGCTAAGATTATCACCTGTTTGTGTTGTGCCTCTCCCTCTCTCTCTCTCAAATTCAGCAATCTCTGGAAGAACGTAATCAACCAGGTAAGGCAAGGTGCTAGCTGACTGCTGTGTTGGCCGACTATCTGTCGTTGTATTTCCAAGTTCAACTCGGCTTCGTGTTCTACCCGACCACGATTGGTCGCGTCGCAACCGGAACGCCGCGTTCCATCGCTCATTTAATTTGTCTTTCCACGCGGCTTCACGGAAAGAACCGAAAAGTTACTCCTGCAGTCACGAAAGCCTCCGATCAAGTCTGCCGTCATCTGGATTTGAATCTTCCAATCAAGTCTGCCGTAATCTTGATTTGAAGCGTCGGATCAAGTCTGCCGTATTCTGGATTTGAATCTTCCAATCAAGTCTGCCGTAATCTGGATTTGAATCTTCCAATCAAGTCTGCCGTCATCTGGATTCGAAGCCGTGAAGCTTTTGCCGGAGCAATCACGTGACCGAAAGAGTTCTACAGGAAGTGGCCCACCGAATCCGGCAGACTTCCACCGAATCCGGCAGACGTCCACCGAAACAGGGTAGACCTCCACCAGATTTCGAAGACGCCCACCTGATTAGGAAGACGTCCACCAGATTTGGAAGACGTCCACCAGATTAGGAAGACGTCTACCGATTACGGAAGAGGTCTACCGAGACCAGAAGCAGTCTTCCAAACCGGCCACAGGCTCGACCCGAAAGCGCCTATCGCGTTCACGGAAGACGTCTACCGAAAGCAGAAGACGTCTACCGAAAGCAGAATCACGTCTACCGAAAGCAGAAGACGTCTACCGAAAGCAGAAGAGGTCTACCGATTGCAGAAGCCGTCTACAAAGAGCAGAAGACGTCTACCGATTGCAGAAGACGTCTACCGAGAGCAGAAGACGTCTACCGAAAGTAGAAGACGTCTACCGAAAGCAGAAGACGTCTACCGAATTCAGAAGGCAGCATCGTAAAACAAAATCCCAGTGCCCGCCACCAAAAATAAAAAAATTATTGCACCACCACCACAACTATCACCACCTCCACAAACACCACAACTATCACCACAACCACCTCCACAAACACCACAACCATCACAACTATCACCACCTCCACAACCACCACAACTATCACCACAACCACAACCACCTCCACAAACACCACAACCACCACCACAACTATCACAACAACCACCACAACTATCACCACAACCACCACCACAAACACCACAACTATCACCACCTCCACAACTATCACCACCACCACAACCACCACAACTATCACCACAACCACCACAACTATCACCACAACCACCACAACTATCATCACCACCACAACTATCACCACCTCCACAAACACCACAACCATCACCACAACCACCACAACCACCACAACTATCACCACCTCCACAAACACCACAACCACCACAACCACCACAACTATCACAACAACCACCACAACTATCACCAAAACCACCACCACAAACACCACAACTATCACCACCTCCACAACCACCACCACCACCACCACAACTATCACCACCTCCACAACCACAACCACCACCACAACCACCACCATCACCACCACAACTATCACCACCTCCACAACCACCACAACCACCACCACCACAACCACCACCTCCACCACTTGCAGGGAGCAAATCACGGCGTCTCCCACCCCTCCCCACTCTCTTCCTCACCCACACAGCCTACACACACACACAGCCTACACACAGCCTACACACAGCCTACACACACACAGCCTACACACACACACAGCCTACACACACACACAGCCTACACACACACACAGCCTACACACAGCCTACACACAAAGCCTACACACACACACAGCCTACACACACACACAGCCTACACACACACAGCCTACACACACACACAGCCTACACACACAGCCTACACACACACACACAGCCTACACACACACACACAGCCTACACACACACACACAGCCTACACACACACACACAGCCTACACACACACACACACAGCCTACACACACACACACAGCCTACACTACCCACACACCCCACACTACCCACACACCCCACACTACACCACCCACACACCCCACACACCCCACACTACCCACACTACCCACACTACCCACACACCCCACACACTACCCACACTGCCCACACTACCCACACTACCCACACACCCCACACACTACCCACACTACCCACACACTACCCACACTACCCACACCCCCTACACTACCCACACTCCCCACACACCCCACACTACCCACACACCCACACTACCCACACACCACCCACACCACCCACAAACCCCTAACCCACACCACCCACACTACCCACACACTATCCACACTACCCCACACTACCCACACACCGACACTACCCACACACCCCACACTACCCACACACCCCACACTACCCACACTACCCACACTACCCACACACCCCACACTACCCACACACCCACACTACCCACACTACCCACACACCACCCACACCACCCACAAACCCCTAACCCACACCACCCACACTACCCACACACCCCACACACTACCCACACTACCCACACACCCCACACACTACCCACACACCCCACACACCGCACACTACCCACACACCCCACACACCCCACACTACCCACACTACCCACACACCCCACACTACCCACACACACTACCCACACACTACCCACACACACTACCCACACACTACCCACACTACCCACACCCCCTACACTACCCACACTACCCACACACCCACACTACCCACACACCCCACACACCCCACACTACCCACACTACCCACACACCCCACACTACACCACCCACACACCCCACACACCCCACCCTACCCACACACACTACCCACACACCCCACACTACCCACACTACCCACACACCACCCACACACCCCACACAACCCACATTACCCACACAACCCACACAACCCACACACCCACACTACCCACACACCACCCACACCACCCACACACCCCACACTACACACACCCCCCACACTACCCACACACTACCCACACACACTACCCACACACCCCACACACCCACACTACCCACACACTACCCACACACCACCCACACTACCCCACACTACCCACACACCCCACACACCCCTAACCCACACCACCCACACTACTCACACACCCCACACCCCTAACCCACACTACCCACACACTACCCACACACCCACCCCACCCACACTACCCACACCCCTAACCCACACTACCCACACACCCCACACCCAACACTACCCACACACCCAACACTACCCACACACCCCTAACCCACACACCCCTAACCCACACACCCCTAACCCACACACCCCTAACCCACACACCCCTAACCCACACACCCCTAACCCACACACCCCTAACCAACACACCCCTAACCCACACACCCCTAACCCACACACCCCTAACCAACACACCCCTAACCCACACACCCCTAACCCACACACGCCTAACCAACACACCCCTAACCAACACACCCCTAACCCACACACCCCTAACCCACACTACCCACACTAACCACACACCCTACACCGCCCAAAAAAAATCGCCCTCTTCTCTCCTCCACACCGCGACAACAACAACGACAACATCGACAACAACGACAACAACAACGACAACAACAACATTGACAACAACGACATCGCCAACTCCGACTCCCGACTCACCATCTTCGCTGGCGATCGTCTTTAGCGCGGCGATACACAACACACACGAGAGGGAAAAAAAATAAACGTCTCGTTAAAGCTCGGTTGCCAAGGAGTAAGTGTCTCTCTCTGTTGTTGTTATTGTTGTTATTGTCTCTGTTGTTGTTGTTATTGTCTCTGTTGTTGTCTCTGTTGTTGTATTTTTCCCCTCAGAGCCGCCGCCGTTGGGCCGCTAGCTTCGTCGTCGTCGTCTTTAGCGGGAAGATAGCAGCGCGGAACATCCGGGCAACTCGGAGGCCACTTCCGGTTGCAACCCGCTACCCCACAAACCCCGCCCACTACCCCACAAGCCCCCGCCCACTACCCCCACAAACCCCCGCCCACTACCCCCACAAACCCCCGCCCACTACCCCACAAAGCCCCGCCCACTACCCCACAAACCCCCGCCCACTACCCCCACAAACCCCCCGCCCACTACCCCACAAACCCCCGCCCACTACCCCACAAACCGCACCCCCACAAACCCCACCCCCACAAACCCCACCCCCCCAAACCCCACCCCCACAAACCCCACCCCCACAAACCCCACCCCCCCCCACAAACCCCACCCCCACAAACCCCACCCCCCCACAAACCCCACCCCCACAAACCCCACCCCCCCACAAACCCCACCCCCACAAACCCCACCCCCCTAAACCCCACCCCCACAAACCTCACCCCCACCCCCCCACAAACCCCACCCCCACAAACCCCACCCCCCTAAACCCCACCCCCACAAACCTCACCCCCACCCCCCCACAAACCTCATCCCCACAAGCCCCACCCCCACAAATCCCACCCCACAAACCCAACCCCCACAAACCCCTCCCCCACAAACCCCACCCCCACAAACCCCGCCCACTAACCCACAACCCCCACCCCCACAACCCCCACAAACCCCACCCCCACAAACCCCTCCCCCACAAACCCCTCCCCCACAAACCCCACCCCCACAAACCCCGCCCACTACCCCACAAACCCCACCCCCACAAACCCCACCCCCACAAACCCCACCCCCACCCCCACAAACCCCACCCCCACAAACCCCACCCCCCACAAACCCCACCCCCACAAACCCCACCCCCACAAACCCCACCCCCACAAACCCCACCCACTACCCCACAAACCCCACCCCCACAAACCCCACCCCCCACAAACCCCACCCCCACAAACCCCACCCCCACAAACCCCACCCCCACAAACCCCACCCCCACAAACCCCACCCCCACAAACCCCACCCACCCCCCCACAAACCCCACCCCCACAAACCCCACCCCCACAAACCCCACCCCCACAAACCCCACCCACCCCCCCACAAACCCCACCCCCACAAACCCCACCCCCACAAACCCCACCCCCCTAAACCCCACCCCCACAAACCTCACCCCCACCCCCCCACAAACCTCATCCCCACAAGCCCCACCCCCACAAATCCCACCCCACAAACCCAACCCCCACAAACCCCTCCCCCACAAACCCCACCCCCACAAACCCCGCCCACTAACCCACAACCCCCACCCCCACAACCCCCACAAACCCCACCCCCACAAACCCCTCCCCCACAAACCCCTCCCCCACAAACCCCACCCCCACAAACCCCGCCCACTACCCCACAAACCCCACCCCCACAAACCCCACCCCCACAAACCCCACCCCCACCCCCACAAACCCCACCCCCACAAACCCCACCCCCCACAAACCCCACCCCCACAAACCCCACCCCCACAAACCCCACCCCCACAAACCCCACCCACTACCCCACAAACCCCACCCCCACAAACCCCACCCCCCACAAACCCCACCCCCACAAACCCCACCCCCACAAACCCCACCCCCACAAACCCCACCCCCACAAACCCCACCCCCACAAACCCCACCCCCACAAACCCCACCCCCACAAACCCCACCCCCACAAACCCCACCCACCCCCCCACAAACCCCACCCCCACAAACCCCACCCCCACAAACCCCACCCCCACAAACCCCACCCCAAAAGCCCCACCCCCAAAGCGCCACCAGCCCCCAACCCCCACCATCCACCCCCCCCCCATCGCCACCGCCTCAGCCATAAGCACGCCCACTTTTGAGTTCCTCTACCAATCGGCGGCAAGGAGGGCTCCTTCACTCCTTATATGGTGGCGACCAACACGGAAATTGAGCCGGGGAAGGGTGGGGGGTGAACGGTGGGGGTGGGTGGGTGGGGGTTCCGTGAACGGGGCCGTAATGTCACCGCGGGGAAGAGGCCATCTTGCTAAGGGAGGTTATGTAGTTGAGGCGGCCATCTTGCTAAGGGAGGTTGTGCATTTTATTTTTTTACCGAAAGAACCAAGAATGAGTCTACATTGTAGACTGTCAGTACACTCACCGAGGTTAAGAACCAGGATACAGTCTACATTATAGACTGCCAGTACACTCAGCTTAAGAACCAGGTTACAGTCTACATTATAGACTGTCAGTACACTCACTCAGGTTAAGAACCAGGCTTAAGTCTACATTATAGACTGCCAGTACACTCAGCTTAATAACCAGGCTACAGTCTACATTATAGACTGCCAGTACACTCACCAAGGTTAATATCCAGGCTACAGTCTACATTAGAGACTGTCAGTACACTCACCGAGGTTAAGAACCAGGATACAGTCTACATTATAGACTGCCAGTACACTCAGCTTAAGAACCAGGCTACAGTCTACATTATAGACTGTCAGTACACTCACTCAGGTTAAGAACCAGGCTAAAGTCTACATTATAGACTGTCAGTACACTCACCGAGGTTAATAACCAGGCTACAGTCTACATTATAGACTGCCAGTACACTCAGCTTAATAACCAGGCTACAGTCTACATTATAGACTGTCAGTACACTCACCAATGTTAATAACCAGGCTACAGTCTACATTATAGACTGTCAGTACACTCACCGAGGTTAAGAACCAGGATACAGTCTACATTATAGACTGCCAGTACACTCAGCTTAAGAACCAGGCTACAGTCTACATTATAGACTGTCAGTACACTCACTCAGGTTAAGAACCAGGCTACAGTCTACATTATAGACTGTCAGTACACTGAGCTTAATAAGGCTACAGTCTACATTATAGACTGCCAGTACACTCACCAAGGTTAATAACCAGGCTACAGTCTACATTATAGACTGCCAGTACGCTCACCAAGGTTAATAACCAGGCTACAGTCTACATTATAGACTGCCAGTACACTCACCAAGGTTAATAACAAGGCTACAGTCTACATTATAGACTGTCAGTACACTCACCAAGGTTAACAACCAGGCTACAGTCTACATTATAGACTGTCAGTACACTCACTCAGCTTAATAACCAGGCTACAGTCAACATTATAGACTGCCAGTACACTCACTCAGCTTAATAACCAGGCTACAGTCTACATTATAGACTGTCAGTACACTCACTTAGATTAATAACCAGGCTACAGTCTACATTATAGACTGTCAGTACACTCACCAAGGTTAATAACCAGGCTACAGTCTACATTATAGACTGCCAGTACACTCACTAAACGTAATAACCAGGCTACAGTCTACATTATAGACTGTCAGTACACTCACTCAGGTGAATAACCAGGCTACAGTCTACATTATAGACTGTCAGTACACTCACCAAGGTTAAGAACCAGGCTACAGTCTACATTATAGACTGCCAGTACACTCACTAAACGTAATAACCAGGCTACAGTCTACATTATAGACTGTCAGTACACTCACCGAGGTTAAGAACCAGGCTACAGTCTACATTATAGACTGTCAGTATACTCACCGAGGTTAATAACCAGGCTACAGTCTACATTATAGACTGCCAGTACACTCACCGAGGTTAAGAAGCAGGCTACAGTCTACATTATAGACTGTCAGTACACTCAGCTTAATAACCAGGCTACAGTCTACATTATAGACTGTCAGTACACTCAGGTTAATAACCAGGCTACAGTCTACATTATAGACTGTCAGTACACTCACCAAGGTTAAGAACCAGGCTACAGTCTACATTATAGACTGTCAGTACACTCACCAAGGTAAATAACCAGGCTACAGTCTACATTATAGACTGTCAGTACACTCACTTAGATTAAGAACCAGGCTACAGTCTACATTATAGACTGTCAGTACACTCACTCAGGTTAATAACCAGGCTACAGTCTACATTATAGACTGTCAGTACACTCACTCAGCTTAATGACCAGGCTACAGTCTACATTATAGACTGCCAGTACACTCACTCAGGTTAATAACCATTGCTACAGTCTACATTATAGACTGCCAGTACACTCACTCCAGCCACAGTAGTTTTTTGTTATTATATAAATTTTTCGTTTCATTTTTATAATTTTTTTGTCACTTCATTTTCATTACAATGTTTCTATCTACGTGACTTCACCGATAGAACCAAAGAATATGAGGTTTTATATATGTCATCTGGCCCACATGGCCGGCCTGCTCTAGACCAATTCTTCGACCACATCAATTCCATACACCCAGCCAATTTTTTTTTCACCTGCGTGACTTTACCGGAAGAACCAACGAATGAGGAACCATGATGTAGTTTCCTCATTCCTTATTCACCAAAGTTCCTGTGCCTGACACCATCGCAATCATTGAAGACCTGGTTCATCAAAGGACTAAACACTGATGTACCCCACCCCCTGGTGAGACATTGTTTAACCAACACATACTTCACTTGGAATGGAACTTTCTACAAACAAACTGAGGGCACCCCAATGGGCTCCCCCCCTATCTCCGGTTGTAGCCAACGTTTTCACGGAGAAATTTGAAACTGACACCATCCAGACTGCCACTCTACGCCCAACCTTATGGAAGAGGTACGTGGATGACACTTTTGTCATCTGGCCACATGGCTGGCCTGCTCTAGACCAATTCCTCGACCACATCAATTCCATACACCCAGCCATCAGATTTACCATGGAGGTGGAAAAAGATGGCAAGCTACCTTTTTTGGATGTCCTAATGAAAAAGAGACCTGATGGTTCAATGAGCCACTCTGTCTACAGGAAAGCTACCCATACGGATGCTTACCCGAAACCAGATTCCCACTGCCATCCATCCCAGAAGAATTCCCTCATTAAGACTCTGCACCATAGAGCCCAATGCATATCCGGACCAGGAACACATAGCCAGTGAACTTTAAGCACGTACACCAAGCTCTTAAGGCTAATGGTTACTCCGACTACACAATCCGCAAAGCCATCACTCCGACAATGAAGAAGGACCCTCTTGAGGAG